GCTCAGGGGGGCGATGCCGATGCCGGTTGTCGTTATTCCGGTTGTTGTTATCCCGGTGATTCCGGCGGTTATCCCGGTGATTCCGGCGGTTATTCCGGCTGTTCCCGGGCTGTTCTCGGGGAAGGTGACGTCGCTGGAGCCGTCGGGTCGCTCGCTCAGCGTCCCCAGGCGCATCGGCCGCCCGGCCAGCTCGAAGCCGTTGAGCTGCTCCAGCGCGCGGCGGGCGCACTCGGCCTCGGAGAACTGGCAGGAAAGGGTTAAATTTGGGTGGGGAATCAATTAAATTCGGGTTTGGGGGGAAAAGTGGAATTTGGGGAAAAAAAAATGGGGTTTTTTGGTGGAAAAATGGGGTTTTTACGACAAAAAATGGGGGTTTTATGACAAAAAATGTGGATTTTTTGGTGGAAAAATTGCGGTGTTTTTTGGAGGAAAAATGGGGATTTTTGGGGGAAAAACGAAGATTTTTGGGTGAAAAATTAGGATTTTTGGAGAAAAAATGGGGATTTTTGGTGAAAAAATGGGGGTTTTAGGAGGGAAAATGGGGGTTTTGGGGATGGGGTTTTGGGGTCACTCGGCCTCGGAGAACTGGCGGGAAAGGGTTAAATTTTGGTGGGAAAAGGGGGAATTGGGGTTTGGGGAAAAAAAATGGGGTTTGGGGAAAAAAAAATGGGGTTTGGGGAAAAAAAATGGGGTTTGGGGAAAAAAAAATGGGGATTTTTGGTGAAAAAATGGGGATTTTATGAGGAAAAATGGGGGTTTTATGACAAAAAATGGGGATTTTTTGGTGGAAAAAAATGGGGGATTTTTTGGGAAATAATGGGATTTTTCAGGGAAAAAAAACTGGGAAAAAATGAGATTTTTCTGGAAAGAATTGGGGGTTTTTGTGAAAAAATGGGGATTTTTGGTGGAAAAATGGGGGTTTTATGACAAAAAATGGGGATTTTATGAGGAAAAAATGGGATTTTTTGGTGAAAAAAATGGGGGATTTTTGGGGGAAAAATTAGGATTTTTGGAGAAAAAATGGGGATTTTGGGGTGAAAAATGGGGATTTTTGGGTGAAAAATTAGGATTTTTGGAGAAAAAATGGGGATTTTGGGGGGAAAAATGGGGGTTTTAGGAGGAAAAAATGGGATTTTTTGGTGAAAAAAAATGGGGGATTTTTGGGTGAAAAATTAGGATTTTTGGGGGAAAAATGGGGATTTTTGGAGAAAAAATGGGGATTTTTGGAGAAAAAATGGGGATTTTTGGTGAAAAAATGGGGGTTTTAGGACAAAAAATGGAGATTTTAGGACAAAAAATGTGG